CCGGTTGCGGACGAGCCCTTCGGCTCAGGTAACGGGACGGGCCAGCTCCCCGCCGCGGGCCGACCGCGCCCGATTCCCAAGTCCCGAAGCTGGGGTTTTCAACAAACCCCGGAGTTCGCATCCTTCCCACTGTGGTTAACTTTAATCCACAGAAAATCGATCGTTAAAAGTTAACGCTGATCGTTCTATAGCTTCAGAGTAATAATTGATACACAAACTCACATCCAAACAAACGCTCGCCAGTTTTGGTGGGAACTCATTTATTCAGTGTAAATGCTATTTCCTTTTAGAAGTCTTGAAAAAAGATAAAAATGGGATGAATGTACAGTTAACACTAAAGACTCAAACACTTAGGCAGAATTTAACTTTCGCAAAAGCAAAATGTGTCAAAATTGAGTGTCATCAATCCAAAAGGAATTTTTTTTTCTATTGAAAAGGAAGACATTCAGCTTGCACAAATGACGGTTCGGCCGACGGCAAGGCGTTCCTGGTCCTCTTCTAGACCCGGGCAGATCGCTAACTTCCCCAAGTTACAATTGACTTGCTCTTTCCATGCTTTTCGAAGCATCTTTAAGTTTCCCCACTAAGTCCTAAAAGACGTATATAATGCCACGTTTGTTAGGATAAAACACGGGAAAGAAGTATCCAAGTTTGAGAAAGATGCAAGAAAAAGTCGGAAGACTCTTTCTAAATAAGTTAAAATTCACGAGGTTATTAACCTTTGACAAACCATTATGGTTCAAAAGAAGGTTTTCCTCTAAAACAGCTCATCTTCAAATCGGCTACTTGCCCTCAGATTTGAAATACGATTTCTAAGTGAATCTTAGGCAAGGTATATCTAAATTAAACTTCTCAAGTTATCTAACAAAGATGATGTCTGTATTCACATTTTCTGAAAGTTTAAAGTTTGATTAATGGTTACATTAAAACTGCAGGCGATGCCTTTTGGAAAATTTAATTTCATCAAAATTTCAAGCAATGATCTTCCTTTTTTTAAGTGGTGACAAATAAATTCGTTGTCATGTCCACCAATTAATGTAGTTTTGAATTTCCCCAGTCTTACACTGGCAATGTAAACGGTTCCCCCTTTATAAAAAGTCATTTAAAACCACTGTTTAAAAAATCCCATTTTGAAAGTTTAATTCAGTGTCTGAAAGCAAAAGAGACATTTTCAAAGCCATACTCTTAATTTTGCTTGGTCCTATTGGATCAAACTCATCAAAAATAGAAGGAAATTACACTCAACACTACACTTCAGAAGTTTATTTTAATCGGTGGGAACAGCAAATATAGGTCAATTCTGTTAGTGACATCTTAATTTCAAAAGTGAAGCCTATGTTAAAATATTGCTTTTGAAGTCCCTTTCCCATTAAATCCTTAAACAATCTTCATTATCTACTGACAGATGGTTAGATTATTTTTCTTTTGAACTTTCTAAAAGTATAATTCTCCAAGATCTATAAAAAGATAGGCATATTCACAGATCCTAATACTGTACCTGTAATTGTTCCATGTTGCAACTAAAGCTAATCTCTGGGTGGGATCGGGAATCAATGTTCTAGGGAAGAAAAAAATGCCGATTATTTAAATCAAGGAAATTTAAATTCCATTACACACTTAATTTTAGTCGGGGCTTATGTATAAATACCTCTACATTTAAGGTCACCAAATATGCAGGTCTGTACATCTTATGAAGTTGATTTGTCTGAAATAACAACACATACATTTCAGCATTTAACTGTATTTCTTTTAAGTTTCCTATATAACCCTAGAGAACAGCTAAACTTTACCTTTATCTGATATTCCAAACGCCAAGAAACATCAGTTATATGAGGCAGAGATCTTCCTATACTGAAAGATACAATGATAATTTTATACACAATATCTACAGAAAACTTACAGTCTTTTTCTTTACTGAGAATGGTGTCTACCTTCCAACCCCTCCCCCCAATTTTAATCCATTGTGAATTTAGAACATTGTTAAACTTTATTTTCAAGTTCGCAATAATAAAAGAGCATTTAAAAAATTATCTCAATAAACTTTATCTTTAAAAACATTGGCTTAACTTCAATTGTTTCACTTGCCCTTTGGCCCCTTTTCTTTTGGTCAAGATCCCTGTTTTTTGCCCTGTTTTGTTTCACACCAGCACTCTCCATTTATATCTGCAAGTGAAAAGTGGCTCAACTTGACACATTATACAGTACCTACCTTCCCAGTAGGATTTCTAGGGAATTCTCATTATTCTGGAGGGTGAAAAAAAAAAGAAAGAAAACACATCTTTGCAAACAAAGTAGAAGAAAAATAGTAATTGTTAATTTAAAAAATGAGAAGTAACCTGATATTCCGTGCAAAACAGTTCTATTCGCTCTCTATCAAATTTACAGTCTTCTAGATAAGTGCTAAAGTAAAAAAAGAAGCAAAAATTTAGTTACCATTTTAAAACCTGAAATTCGAATCATAAAGGTACTATTTGATAATGTATGGAATTTAAATAAATCCTGTACCTTAGAGTTGACTTGTCAGCTCTTTGCTTTCCTGCTTCCAGTATGTAAGTTGCAGCTGCTGCATGACAATGTTTTAACACTACTGGGTCGATATGTTTCAAGTCTGGGTGATCTAAAATAAATTAATTGCCAGTGATGCCTGTGATTCTTTATAGTCATGTTTCCTAAAAGGATATTTTAATTTGGGTAAAACCCCCTTTAACAAGATAACAGAATTCCACTGTAAGGACTAGCAATTAAGTAAATGAGAGATGAGCAACAAGGTCAATGGCAGAATAAAGAACACATATCAACAATTCTGTTTCTTGGTCTCAATTCCTTTCTTTGATTTTGCCTTAATATGTTTACTGCTTTTTAAAATTACAGTACCAAAGTAAAAATACCTACACAGTGGTCATTCTAACACTGGATGGAATAAATTCAGAGGAAAATAAGAAGATAAATATTTTACATTGTGTAAATTTAATAAACGTTCCCTCTAAAGACTGATTGATTTTAGGGTAAATGGCTCCATGGACATTAATACATCAAGGGAGGGGAGGGCACCCGTTCGGAATATTAAATATAATTTTCAAAATATTTTCAGGTTTTTGACAGCCATTCTTTTTTTGAGATTAACGCAGGTGGAGCTATTTTCGTTTAAAGAACTTCCACTTTCATACTTTTTGTACAAGTATTTAGTTCATGAAACTACAGAAAAAAACCAAAAATTTGAATTGTTGGGATATTTATATTTAGGAAAATTATCTAAAAGCGACTTGTCTTTTAAGATATGCTTTCAATCCATGCAAACACCGCACTCTACCATTGACAGAACTACTTTAAAGGGACTCGCTTCCTGGTAACTGATGCCGAACAATACATTATGCACCATATTTTAAGGTTCTAGGTGTGGAACCTGTGCAAAACAAACTGAACTAGAGTGTTGGAGTGATCATAAGAACTTGAATTATTTTCTAAATTGGAAAATGTCAACACTATTCGACCTAGCAATTACTTTAGAAACAGACCTTTAAAACCTTTGCTAGCCTAGCACTGAAAGCTTGAATTGCCAGGGAGCTCGCCGGCGGAAGTCCAAGTGTCAAACAGCTTTTGCCTCAGACCAGGCTGGAAACCTTAGATGTTTAGGCCACAAACAAGTCTTGAACACGGGCTTTACAAAGGAACAAAGAGCCTGGGACGGGAAATCAGGATAGGAACGTGTACTGGCTATGTGCAGGTGCCAAATGGGGACAGAACAATGCTCGGGGTCCGCTCTGGGTTCTAGCAGAGCCACATCGCCTCACTCCGTCCGGAGCGAAGGGCAAAGCCCGGAGAGACTTCCTCTTCCCGGGGCTTTCCCCGTCTCGCTCGGTCTCGCTTGGTCTAGCTGCTCTCTTCCGAGCGCCCCTCTACCCAGGCCGATCCAGCTCAGAGTTGAGCGGCTTACCTAACACGGCCTCGTCCGCCTGGGCGTCCAGCAGGCTCTGGAAAGTCGCCCGGAGGAGAAGCGTGAAGGCGTTGAAGTCAAAGGAGCCGGGATCGGCCAGCATCTGGAAGCCTTTCTGCACGAACTCCGAGAGCTCCATTGTGAGCGCGCTGTGACCTTCGACACGCGCACCACGTGATACGCGCCGCGCGCTCAGCTGATGCGGCCGCGCGCGCACGCGGCTCG